TCTGTGATGGATTCTGTGTGTACCAGACATGGTTTCTTAACTCTGATTTCGTATCGTTGGTTAACAAAATTTTAAGTACATATGTTGTGACTCCCTGAATCGACTGTAAGTTTTGGTGTAATAGGGACAATTGAGTTTTGCATTTATTCTTTCAAAAACTGTAATGAGTGTCTGTATGTGACAGCCACCCTTGGTATAAAAAAGAAAAGCCACTGTTCTGGTTCCCAAAATGATCCAGCCAGTTAACATAAGATAGGATAAGTGTTACCAGCAAACTGCAGTGACATTAATTCTTAAATTTTCCTGGAGGGGTTAAAGACTTCAAAGAAGAGTGATCTTTTGAGCTGAGGCTTAAAGGATAGAAGTGTTTTGGAGGCATGAAAGCGAAGTGTGGATGGCTCAGAAAGGTAGCACAGCTTGGGCAAAAAAGCTCAGCCGTGGACGACACAGGGACACCCTGCAGAATGTAGGCATGTACTGCTACTGCTGGGTGCGGGGTGGAATGAGAGAAAATGAGATTGTGCAAATAGGCGGCTGGATAAATGTCTGTACCTATTATGTAAAGGATCTTAGCTGGTATGCTGTGAAAAAGCCTGGTGAAATAGCAAGATAAGTTTGGATTTGAATGTTAGAGCAATCCCCTGCAGCAGGAGGGGAATAGAGGGGAAGGGGGTATGTGAATGGACAGGGAGACTGGTAAGAAGGTTACTGCTATTGCAACAGTCTGTGATAGACTAAGCACAATGAGGAGAAGACAGGGTAGAGAAGGAGAGAATACAAAAAGCAGCAATTGGGAGGTAAAATGGACGGACGTTGGCGTTTGATAGAACATGGGCGACAAAATGTAGAGAAGACAAGGACCTTTTCTGTCTTATTCCTAAGTGTATCATCACACCTAGAAGAATGCCTCATCTAGGATCCCAGCAAATATTTGTCAAAATGAATAAAAGGGAGAAATCTGGACGTCTCCTGCATTTCTAGCTGAAACCCGGTTTGTGTTGGCAGTTGCCAACTGAAGAGATACAGGAGGGGAAGATAATGTATTCACCTGCGGGTCACTGTGGGACATGTTGGTAGTTTCCAGAAGAGCCAAACTATAAGACACACATTATAAGGGAGCAGGGGCTATGGAGAGAAAAGAGCTAATAAGAGAAGTGCCAAATAGGACTGCAGAAACACAGGAATAGGGTTAGGTTAGGTTCAACAATCACAAGTTGAGTGAGGCATTTTCAAGCTGAAATGTTTGACAGGGTAATTTGTCCAGAGAATTCAATGAGAATGAAGTCTGGCAAAATCAGTGCTCAGCTTTGGAGATCTCAGGGAGGAATATCGTCAGTGTTGGGAAATGAAGGTCCCTTGCCTTTTTATGTGGGCGTGTCAGAGATTAGAGGTTGGGTTAGATTTCCTTTATATAAACTCTGTGGCTCTGTCCATCTTTGATCCTGGGAAAGATAAAGGCAGCATATGAAATTGTGATTTTAGTATCAACCAAAAAGCAGGTTAGAGATTGATGTTAGTAAATAAGAAAAATACCTAAATGTGGAGATAAAATTGTTAAAAATGCTGACTTAGATCATAGTTTCTTATACAGAACAGACAACTGCAAATTGTATTAATAGTAATCATAATAATTATGTTTTTTTTTAAAGTTTCACTTGTTTATTTTTGAGAGAGAGAAAGAGAACAAGGGAGGGGTGGAGAGAGAGGGAGAGAGAGAATTCCATGCGAGATCTGAGTGGTCAGTGCAGAGCCCTGTGCAGGGCTCAATCTCATGAACTGTGATATCATGGCCTGAGCAAAACCAAGAGTCGGACGCTTAACCGATTGAGCCACCCATGCACCCCGATAATTATGTTTTAAAGTAATGTGTATTTCTTTAATTAACAACTTTTTGCAACATAATGATGAGTTATCCCAACATATGACATAACAGGCAATAATTATATATCTTAATCCATCTCTGTACATGGTCTAATTTAGCTGGTCTCTATAGGTTTTGAGTAGTTGCTCTCAAATATTAGTTACATAAAAAGCACCTAATGTGCTTGATAAAATTCTATCTTGTGCTTCAAGAGGGTTTGAAAATTAGTATCTTAACAAACACTCTCATGTGATTCTGACACACATGTCAAGAGGTCCTACTTAGAGAAACATCGCCTTAAAAAACTCTTTAGTGCTACTTGCATTATTAAGCTGGTGTTCTTGCTCCCTCATGTGGTCCAGTGTGGAAATACATATTTCAGATTCCTCATAGTCACTCCCTAGAAAACAGAGCTCTACAATTTATCTACCTGTTATTTAGCCTTTATTTAACCTTTCTATAAGCCTAAAAATGCGAGCACAGAGTGAACATTCATGTCCTTATATATAAAGTAAATGACTGGAGAAGACCAAAAAATGTCACATGTATGATTCCACAATTTACAAATGCCGTGGCCAAAACATTGCTTTGTTTGTCTGTTGTTTTCTTTTGACAATTTTGAAGGAATCTCTGTGGAAGAGTACTGAAGAGTTACTTGGTGGCAGCATTTTCATGGACCAAGTGTTTATCCTTTATTTAATTCTCCCTCTGAATCTTTAAGAATTTAGAAGATTTGTCTTAAAATAAGACAAATCCAGGGTCTTTGAGGCTCATTTGAATTTTTCATTACCCAGGGTTTTTTGGGGGGGGTGATAAGGGGTGCCAATTAAAAGGATATAATTGATAAACATGTGATGAAGGTTATACAGAGTAGAGAGGGGTAAAAATTCCTTCTTTCCCTTTCTTCCTCCCTGCCTTCTAGCAGTCATTCAACAGATATTTATTAAAACCACCTGAGGCTTTGCAAGTGATGCCGTGATAGCTGGGACACTATTTTTATGAATGAGAAGAGACATTGAGCAAACCAAGGTTTGTAATAAAGGGTCTGTGCTCTAAGTGCAGGGCAGGCTATCAATGCTCAGAGGCAGGGGAGATGGAGAGAAGGGGTAGGAGAAGGGTAGCCACTGGGGAAATCCTAACACAGAAGATGGCTTCTGAACTGGAAACCCCCAAGAATGGTTACTTTTTAAAACCTTTGTGCAACTGTGTTGTTGTCTTACTTATCATACAATTATCTGTTTTTATGGTGGTTCTTTTATTCATTCATTCAATACTGCTTGTGTCAGCCAGTATGCTAAGTGTGGGTCTCTGTCCACACAGAGCTCCCATTGTAAGTAGTGGAGACTGACGAAAATAAACTATCTAAAAAACAGAGAAAAGAATTATAAACTGAGGTATAGGCTTTGAAGGAAATACACAAGAAGCTGGGTTACAGGATAACGTGGATGCAGTGTGATAATATCTACTGTTGTGAAGGTGGTCAGGGAAGGCCTCCCTGAGAAAATAGAAACTGTCATCTTTACCAAGTCCAATTCTATTGTAAAAGCTTTTCTTGTATCAACTATGTTAATCCTCACAACTCCATTGGAGAATCTGCCATTACTAAACCCATATGAAAAGTGAGGAAACTGAGGCACAGAGACTTGACGCATAATTCATAAGTGGAGGAGACTGGATCCAAGTCTACATGTCCAGGCCCCACAAGCTGCTCAGAGCTGCTCCCTGTCAAGGCAGAGGAAAAAGCTGGCATAAAGTCTCTGAGACAGGCAAGTACTCGATGGTTTAGGTGCTGGGGGAAGATCTACAGGAGAGGAGTGAAGAGATGGAGAGAGCTTGAGGCTGGAGACAGAGACAGGGGCCTGATCCTGAAGGCCTTCTGAGAACAGGGTAAGGAGGTATAGATTACTTTCTAAATTCAGTGGAAAGTCACAGGTGGGTTTTAACCAAGGTTTTTAAAAAATAACTCTTTTGTTGAAAAGAGTGCAACTCTTTTGAAGAGTGCAAATCAGAGAATGGACTACAGGCAGGGGGCACTGGTTAGGAGGAGGTCATACAGTTTGGCAGTAGAGGCGGGTATGACTTGAACAGACTTGGGACATGGAATGAACAGCACTTCACATGACAGAGAGCCCCCACCGCATCCTCCCAGAAGTGGCTGAAGGCGGACGCATCACCCATCACCTGGGGTGTGGGCTCCTTTCAGTCATGTGTTAACACAGAGACCAGTATTCAGCATTAGAGACAGTCACTGAAAGAGCTGGAAAGAACAGAATGTGGGTGGCTCAGCTGGTTGAGTGTCTGACTTCCACTCAGGTCATGAGGTTTGTAGGTTTGAGCCCTGTGTCAGATCCTCTGTCACCCTCTCTCTGCCATTTCCCCACTCTTCCTCTCAAAAATAAACATTAAAAAAGAAGAGAACAGAATATGTTATTTACCTTAGCACAATAGAACCACTGATGGTTGAGAGAGAGGTCTTTTTTGGGTGTAATATGTTGATTTCACAGATGAGGATACTGAACTAGAGAATACTGAACTAGCTTGATTGCTTAACTAGTTAGCTGCTGACTTGGGAGTAAATTATATCTATTTTTCCTTGATCCCACAAATGCATAACCAGTTTCTACTTAAGACAGACAAATTTAACTTATAAGTTGATTTCCCACCAATTCTAGGGCATTGGAGTACTTTATTACAGGCCAAGCACTTTAAGTATTTACTTCTTTAACTTGGAATGGTTTCCTTTGAGGGCATATTCCCATTTCACAACACATGGTGAAACGATGTTCTTTCTGAGCATTTCCCTTCCCTCCTTATGTATGGAAAAGAAAGAAACAGAGGCAAGGACAAATCAATAAGCTCACCTCTCACGTGACTTATTCACCTTCTCTACCCTCATGTTTGCCTGTAGGAATTCTTGCCCTTGATTATAAGAAGTAGCCCTGGTGTGAACAGGCTTCAGAAGGGGTCAGGGAACTTCTGAACACAGGATTACAAGGAGCGTGCTCGAGGCAGAAAACAGGAGGAGGCTGCATTTAGGCAAATGTCTCCTTCATCCACAGCCAATTAGAGTATCCCTGAAGAATTTCTAACGTATTCCTTAAGGAGCTAAGCAAGTCCTAGAGGGTTCAATTAATCTTACCGTTGCCCTTCTGTCCGGTGAAAAATATTAAGTTATTTTGCAGTGCTGAGTGATTATTTGCCAGCTGAAACTTCAAGCGGAATTCATAATCGAAGCTGATGTCTGGGATCCGTGAATAAGCCAGGAATGAAGTGTATCCAAAGGCATCTGTACCACTGAACCTGGGCTGAGTAATATTAATAGCTGTGGAAAAACCCAAACCAAATAGTTAAAATAAACCTGCACGTGTACTTGTAAAAGGACGGCAATGTTTTGCTGATGCATCTGGCCAGATAGGCTGTTTACTATCACATTAACTAGACTTAAGTGCCCTTCAGCATTGAGCAACTAAGTGACTCAATGGGGAATTTCAAAACCAGAACAAAGGAAGTGCACTGTTTTGAGATCCTGTATATAACCCTTTCCCTTACACTGCCTTTCTACATAATGAAGAATTTACTTAAAAAGCAAAGCCCTATATTGTGAAGAGTAATTTTAGAAATAAAAAAGATCGCTGGCAGCCAAAGTGTGTGCCCAGGTGCTTTGTAAATACGACTTGGCGTTCAAACACCGGCTATGACTTAGACAGGAATTCACAGCTTGACACGAGCTGTGCTTTTCTAATCCTGTCCTTCTGTAAGAGACAAAGCCGTAGGTCAGAGCAGGAAAGGCAAGACTGATGGAAACAGATCAGTTTCCATCACCATATTGTGAGTGCCCAGATCTTTTAAGTAGAAATCTTTGTTTAAAAGAATATGTTTATTCTTACTCTGTTAAGATGCTAGTTAAAAAATGAAAGCGTGGATTCAAGTAGGACTAAAGCTGTAGGGAGATTCGGTAGAAACAGGAAATGGTTAAATATAAAGTTGAAGAGCCAGTGTGGACAAAACAGAATTTAATTGAGAGGTACTGCTAGCCAGCTAGGCTCTTTTTGTCCTGCCTCTGATCTTCTCCTTTCCAATTTTGCTGTTATTGCTCTATTTTGTTTGTAAATAGTCCTAACTGGCTTTTATTTTATTTCCCCACTCCAAGAGGACTACAGGAAACAGAAAGGGACTTTTGACCCCCATCCCTGTCTGCTAGGAATGGTATTCCCAGATTAAAAGATGTTCCTGGGATCTAATTTTATTAGTTTGAGACAGCTTGATACAGGGAAGAACTGCTTGTTTTGAATACCTTATATTGTTCCTTTCTCAAGAAATATTGGCTCTCCTGGGAAGTTGTACAACTAGAAGTTTTATAAGCCTTAAGAGATAATCTCACTCTGGTACCTAATGCTTAAAACAAAAGATCTTGTATATCTGGTTATAATTGTTTATACAACAAATGACTGTACTATCCTGAGAAAAGTGATTCTACTTATCAGAGGCTTTTATTTCTGTTTGTTTCATATAAGTATTTAAGCAGAGTAATGTGTGGAATCAGTCGAGTAAGGTTTTGTCAAAATCTTATCAGTTTTTTCCTTGGCATGCATGGCCTACGATGTTTTTTCTTCTCAAAACTCATCAGAACCTGAAGCACGAATTTGAGATATACCACTTCTTATATTTATTTTTTACCTAATGAAATAATGTATGGTTTGTATTCCAGAGACAATAAAGCTGTTTCTATTGGGGATTTTGCTTGCAGTAGTACTCTAGGTATAATAGTTGAAGGAAATGAAATGTACTGGCATTGAAACAAATTAAAGAACTAACAGAGTTTTGATGTTGCCACTAAAAACAATAGAATTCAACTACGTTTCATACTAAAATAGAGGAATTTTGTTTTTTTTAGGAAGGACTTTTTTAAAAAAACATTTCTTCTTGTTAATAATTTACAACTGGGTCTACTTAAAGGTTTAGTACATTTAGGTTAGATTGAGAGATATACATCTCATAGACACTTCACTGTTGGATGCTGTGCTAGATGCTGGCAACACAAAGATAAAAAAGCAAGATCTCAAACCCCAAGAAACTAGTGTGTGGTCAATTAATGTATCCAAATGAACTGGATGGAAAGTTGAGTTGAAAGATGATGAGCAGCAATTCACCTGGTAGATAAAAAAAGGAAAGATCCTTTCAGGTAGAAATAACAGCATGTTTCCAGGCGGGGAGACCCAACCAGCATGTCATAGTCAAGGAACTCATGGAGTGTCCAATTGTCCAAGAATGAAGTACAAAGAGGAAAAGTAGAAGTAAATGTAATGAGATAGTCAGACAGGGGTCAAATTATGAAGAGCTTGATATTTTCTCTATAATCTTTGAGTGGTTGGGTGATGGTCAGAGTTGCCTTTTAGAAATGTCATCTAGTGATGAAATATGAAGGTTGAAGTAGATGGAGGGAGCTGGAGAACCAAACTTGGTTAAGAATGAAATTAGGACTGGGGCACCTGGGTGGCTCAGTCAGTTAAATGCCTGACTTTGGCTCAGGTCATGATCTCACAGTTTGTGGGTTTGAGCCCTGCATCAGGCTCTGTACTGACAGCTCACAGCCTGGAGCCTGTTTCGGATTCTGTGTCTTCCTCTTTCTCTCTCCCCTCGCCTTCCCCAGCTCACGCTCTGTCTCTCTCTTTCAAAAATAAATAAATGTTAATAAAAGTTTTAAAAAAGAACGAAATTAGGACTCTGATGATACCAAGAAATCTAACAATGAGTTAAGCTTATACTGAGTTGTAAATGTGAGGAAGTTAACAGGTCACTCAAGGAATGAGGTAATGTGTGATATTTATATAGTGAATAGAAATGTGACACCATTTCATACAATGGAAAAGAAGTATAATGTATACTGAGGATAACCGTGCCCACAGGAATGGATCTGTCAGGGCATTTCTTAGTCTATCGCTACACTGTTGAATAATGCAGCAACTCACCACATGTGGCTGCTGAGCACCTGAATTGTGGCTCAGCTGACTGAGATGGGCTTAGTATAGAGAAAAGAATGTGAAATATCTTATTAATAACATTTTAAATGCATTAGATATTGGGTTCAATAAAATGTATTATTAAAATGAATTTCATCGGTCTCTTTTTACTTTTAAAAAATGTGGCTACTAAAAAACAAAATCACAGAGGCAGCTCCCATTTGACTAGATAGCAGTGCAGAGAGAACCATGGTCTCTAGGTAGGTAAACTGTTTCTCTAAACCGTAAGTTGTGACTTACTTCAAGGTGCTTTGTCTTTTGGCAACTCAGAGCCTGTGAAAAGACAGGGCTTCTAAGGGTGAGAATAGGAATCAGGACAAGGGGCCAAGGAATGTCTAGCCCACTTGTGAAGAGTCCCTTGTGTCCTCACGCACACTGTCTCCATTTTGCTTGATCAGGCAGGAGAACACAGAGGGACCCAGATTAGAGAAAGAGGATTTTCAGCTTTACAAATGATTCTTTCCAGTTTTTGAAAGTAAGGCCTTTATGATCTTCAACCAGGCAACATTTGGTTAATTTGATTACTCTATTACACAAATTCCCAGATCAGACTTCTAGAAGTGTCAGTCGTCATCAAATCAGTAGATTGAACAGATTGTAATGAGAATATTTTAGGGCTATTAAATGACTTTTTTTCTTTTGTAATCCCTAGTTGCCTCACGGTCTCCATATGTGAACTTCTGCAGTCTTTTTTCTTCAGTTCTTTTAAAGTTACAGCAAGAGATTGGGACCATGAGGAAGGAAGAGGGATGCTGGGATTTGAGCTAAATATGAATTATTTAGTGTGTGGAAGAATGGAGCAAAATCACTAACAGCAGACTGGGACATTTCAGGCAGTCAGAAAGCCTTATGTATCTCAACATCACCTAGGGTCATTAAAAATTCTACAAACCTTCAATGATGGGAAAATGTCATAATCTTTCTTATAATATAACGTTTGGTTGTAAGCTCAGCATAGAATCTTTGCCCAAGATAATTACATTATGCTTACAGAATACGTTTCAGCAAAAATTACCACAATAAAAGGGTATAAACTTCTGTCTTCTAGAAAATTTGCCATGGCAAAATTTTCTCACTCCCAATCAGGACAGAGAAATAACACATTGTTGTCTCGAATGTAACTATATTTTTCTCTCTTTTTTAAATGTTTATTTTAGAGAGAGAGACAGCATGAGTCGGGGAGGGGCAGAGAGAGAGAGAGAGGAGGAGAGGGGATTCCATGTGGGCTCCTCACTGACAGCAGAGAGCCCCATGTGGGGCTTGAAATCACAAACTGTGAGATCTTGACCTGAGCCTAAGTCAGACGCTCAATGGCACCCCTGTATTTTTTTCTTTAAAAAATATTTTGTCGTTAGTCCTTAATCTGAATTACCAATGCTTTATGCATAGAAGTGACCAAGATGAGCTACAGGAAAGTGGGAAAAAGGCTCAGATTGCAGAATACCTTTTCAACTCTGCAATCAGTATTGCCTTCTGAAGCCCACTGCCTGGCAGTGACACATGACATACTAAGGTCACCTCACATTTTGAGGAGAGGCCGCTGGAGGCAGCCAGCTCAGACTTGATTTTGGATTTCCTCACTTTCTATTTAAATTTTGGCACATTAACTTCTCTGTTTTAGTTTCTTTGTCTTTAAAATGAGGTTAGTTAAGAGTGGCCAAACTTTGTGTGAAGAATGAGAAAAGCATGTGGTTTTAAGAAACACATCTGAGCTAACCGCAAATCTTGGGAAGGTGAGCCTCTAGTGCATGCTCTGCCATGCTTCGACATTTTCCCAGTCAAGTCTCTAAGGCAGCTAATTTACACCTCTTCTCCCGCCTCTAACATCTAATACTCATCGTCTCTCAATTAATGATCCTGCTTCTTATTTCACTGAGAAAAATAAACGAAGAACAGAGAACTACCCCATCAAATCCTCCGCACCTCAAATCTTTCATTTTAATCCATGTGTTCTGCCTTCTTTCTGGTTACAAAGCTGACTGCTTGGATTTTGAATCCACCCTTCATTGACTCAAAGACATTGTTTCAGCAATTCTTTCCCATTTCCCAGGAGACACCAAATTCTTCTTTATTGAATCAAATATACTAAAATATCTCCATCTGAAGAAGCCTCTTTCTTCAACTCCACATTCCTCAGAAAGACAACTACTCCTTGTTTTTCTGCTCATCATTCTAATAAGACTCCTCTAAAGAGCATCTGTGTTGACTTCTTCTCTTTCTTTTTCATTTCTTTCTTTTTTCCTCTCTTATTATCCATTCACTCTTGATTTCATTCCAGTCAGATTAGCATCTCTCATTCCTT